GGGAGCTCGGAAAAAAAAAAAAGCATTGCTTTCAGCGGCCCCACGACAATCGTATCAAACGTTTTAAGATGCACCCACCTCCCACCCTTTTCCTGTTTAAAAAAAAAACAAACAAACTTTGAAAAGACTAAACCCTGGCAGTTCCGAAACTAATTTGCTCTGACGCTCATAACTTAAGAAAGAGTGTGATTTTTTTTTTTTTTTTGAGTTGGAGTCTCACTCTGTCGCCCAGACTGGAGTGCAGTGGTCGCTCCCGGCCACCGCAGCCTCGACCTGCTGGGCTCCGGTGATCCTTCTGCCTCAGCCTTCCAAGTAGCTGGAATTACAGTAGCGCGCTACCACACTCGGCTAATTTTTTGATTTATTGTAGAAATGAGGTCTCACCAAGTTGCCCAGGCGGGTCTCAAACCCACGGGCTCAGGCAATCCACTCACCTCAGCCTCCCAAAGGCGCGGGATGACCGGCTGAGCCACCGAGCCCAGCTAAGAGTGTGGTTTCTTTGCAATCGTCCTGCTTGTCCGGGATGCTGGAGGAAGATGGATGATTTGCTATCATAAATCATGAAATTGGCCGTTTCCAGGTTACTTGTGTGTTTTTCCTCCAGCCTCCAGACTGTGAGTCTGTGAAACAGAGGCTGCTTGTCTGGTTCGCTGGTTTGTTACCAGAACCTGGCGCCTTTCAATGATAAATGGATTGCAGTGAAATGCAGGCGATTTTAGGGAGAACAGGTAACGTGATGTGATAGATTAAATTACACCGAAAGAGAAAGTTACGTTTTTTTCAAAGTTCTTTCAAAGCTTGGAATATATCCAGGGTGTTAAACGTTTCTGACACCTTTTAATCTGTTCCCCACCCACCCCCCTCAGCTGGCCCTTTGGGCGTCTGCTGACAATCATATCTCAATACAATTGAATAACTTTCATTTCCTATTTATTTATTTAGAGGCAGGGGTCAGGCTAGGTTGCCCAGACTGGTCTTGAACTCCGGGTTTCAAAGGATCCTTTGAAGGACTTTTCAAAGTTCTGGGATTACAGGCTTGGGCCACTCCTGCCCAGCCCTGTATTTATTTTTATAGTTATTTTTAGAGCTACTCATACCGGTTTTCTATTTATAAGAGTGATATCAACTTGACTTTGAAAAATCAATTTATTTATGAAAAATAAGTCATTTAAAGAAAATAAAGCAAGCAGGACTGCAGGTGAGGCAGAGCTAGGGCACAAGTTTTGAAGAACGGAGATCCGTGGAGACGGTGAAGAAAGAAGATGAGGACATTTCAGGGAGAGAACAGCCTGTCCCAAGACTAGAGACAAGAGAGTGCTGACACATTCTGGGACATACAAATAGATCCCTTTGGCTGGCGTGGTGGGAGGAGGGAACAGAGCTTCCACGGCAGCTGGGCTGGTTATGGCAGGACTGAGGGCTGAGTAAGGACCTTGGATTTTATTTCAGCTCCCTCATATTTGTCACCCTGGTAACAAATATTTGGTTACTATACTGTGATGAAATCCATCTATAACAAAACCTACCTATTCACAAACATTTTAAAGTCAACATAATATCCCAACTGCACTACAGAGGATAAAAAAGAAGGTATTGAGTAATAAGAAAATATGTTTTTGAATACGATTAGTGCTCAGGGACATTAAGTTGTCAGATGTTTGGTCCCTCTGTACAAACCGCAGTGAATGTCACCACTGCAAACACACGTCCTAGACAGGCATGTGATGAAATCTGATGCTCAGAGAACACTAGTATGCCAGTGGTGATGTGATTTCTTTTCCTTTTGCTTGAAAGTTTTCCTTATTCATTTTTAAAATTTTATGATATTTATTTATTTTATTGATATATAACAGAGGTACATATTTTGGGGGTACATGCGATAGATACTTGAATGCAGTCATTTAATGTGTAAAGATCAAATTAGGGTAATTGGGATATTCATCACCTTAAAGATTTGTCTTTGCTTTATGCTAGGCTGGAATTTTCTGAAAGGTGACCAGGTCTTGGCAAGGTTCCAAAGAAGACAAAGTGCAGGCTCAGCGTGGTGGTTCATGCCTATAATCCCAGCACTTTGGGAGACTGAGGTGAGAGGATTGCCTGA